CTGCTGGGGGATGCCTGGGACGAGGACAGGCGGTGGTTCCTAGATGAGCACATCGCCCCGCAGAACATCCTGTGTGGGCTGGACCGTATAAAGTATGACTACGTGGGGCGCTTTGAGACCATGGATGCCGACGTCAAGGCCCTCATGCAGCGATTCGGGAGGGATGCTGGGGATGCCTTTGACTTTGGCAAGAAGATCCACCCCACCAAGTCCAGAGACCAGATGCAGCACATGTTCACGAAGGTGAGTTGCCACTGTGTTCTCCGAGAGGAGTGGTTGCTGCAGATGCAGCACATGTTTACCAGTAAGGTGAGGGGCATGCAGTGTAGCTATGGGATTTGAGGGCTGTCGCTGTGCTGAAATCCCGTCAACTCGCTGAAATCTGCACGCAAACCAATCCAGGAAGTGAGTAAGACCACTTCAACCACTCTACCCCACATGCCTGTATGCTCACACTCATGCACACACTGCCATCCTTCCTCTGTGGTATCTGCAGGAGACCTATGACATCGTGAGACGAGTGTATGGCATGGACATGCACGCGCCTTTGAACAACATCTCCTACGATCCCCCCGAGGAGCTCAGAAGAATCTACGAGGTGGGGGCTGCTGGGCAGGCGGGCAGCGGCAGCGTGGACTCAAAGAGTGCGGGCAGGTGAAGGAATCTTCAACGCACGCTGTACCATGGTCAATGGGGTTGTGAACTGCAGGGATTGATTGCTTCAGATTCATCCCGGCTGCCGTGCCATGGAACTGGAGTGACGTGTGAGGCTGGACTGACGTGTGGGGTGTGGACTCTCAGATGAGCGGCAGTCCTGGATAGGGCTGCCTCTTGCACTTCCTGTGCATGTGACAGTGGTCGGGGAAAGCTCCGCTGGTGCGGGGGGGGAAGGGAGGTGAGTGTGTGAGGACGGCCAGGAGAAGGGAGGTGGGAGTGGAGTGAGACAGTGTAGAGCAGTTGCAAGGGAGGAGAGGGAGGAGGGAGGTGATGTGCTGCTGAAGGGTGCTTCGCAAGAAGACACCACTGTTGGGAGGAAGCTGCCTTGAAGAGTGTTTCCGCGCTGCCTGCTCTGCTGCCTGTCCTGAAGTCCTCTTGGGAGGCAGTGGAAGGAACGCAGGAGGGCACGGGAGGCAGTGCATACTGTAGATCGCAGAGGGGCACGAGACGCGGGTGTGTGAGAGAGAGAGAGATGCTCTCCTGAGGCGCCTCAACAACGTGCTCATGAACGTACCACGCTGGTGGTATACTGCTGCTGCTAGAGTAACACCTGCGCTGGCTGCTGCTGCTGCTGCTGCTGCTGCTGCTGCTGCTGCTGTCTTTGGTGGTGCTGGTGCTGCAGCAAGGTGATGTCGCATGGTTGTGTGCGGCTGAGCGTGGTGCTGCTGAATAGCAGCAAGAGCTGTTCTTGAGTCGCCTCAAGCAAGAGCTGGAGGCAGTTAGACCAACATGCATCTTTACCTTTGTATTTGCTCTCACAACTCGTTCCTTGTTCCAGATTAATGGAACGGGGCTGGGGAAAGGGTGGTACTGTTGAAATAACTGTAGATTATTCGAGGCACCAGAACCTCTGCGGTGGTGTACCCACTGCTTCCGAATCCTTTTGTTTTTGTTCCTTTAAAATATACCGTATGTCCCTTAGGTACCATGTGCTGCGATCACCAGCAGCACAGAGCACTCCAGGAGTCAGGACATGGGTCTTTCCCAGTCATTGCCAGTTCTTCTAGTGAAGTGACCCTTCATGATCTGGAAAGGATGATACTGTAGTCTCTGTGCTTGGGCATCGTCAATGCATCTTTTATATATATCAATGGGGCAACATGGTACAGCAATGGGGCAACATGGTACAGCAACGGGCTAATCTCCACCTCTTTATAATCACATGGTATAGTCCAGATCCAGGCCTTTGCTGCCCGGTTATCTGGTCGTGGCAGCCCCCACCTCGTAGATTCTCCGCAGCTCCTCGGGGGGATCGTAGGAGATGTTGTTCAAAGGCGCGTGCGTGTCCATGCCATACACTCGCCTCACAATGTCGTTTGTCTCCTGCGGACAAAGGAGAAGGGACACGACGAGCATGTGGGTTTCTTGAATGTGTGTAACAGAGGGTCTGCATGTCCATGCCGTACACTCGCCTCACAATGTCGTACGTATCCTGCAACCAACAAGCAGGCATGTGAATGGGAGGACTCAGGACTGGACCATGTTCAAAATGCACGTAGGAGAGAGAGCCTGTGCATGCATGACCATGCTGCCTGTCAACACGAGCCACAATCAGGGCTGACGTTTCAAATTTAGGCACTCTGATTCCAACCCCCCAAATTTTTTTCCACTCTGAAGGCACTTCGGCCAGAAATCAGGCACTCTGATTGGTCAGTGTTCTGAACTCCGCGTGTCTGACCAGTCATTGTTGGTGGGTCCGCATCAGGGTTAGTCCTCGTGCACACCGCTGCCCGGCACATGTCGGTGGCACTCTGGACTAGCATGTGTGAATGGCGTGTGACTCGGCAGGCAGGCAGCGCGCATTTTGTGTATGTACAGTACCTGGCACAGTTAGACCTGGCGCCACAGTACCTTGCTTGCACGTGCCAACCGCCCGAGCTGCTGCAAAGATGAGCTGGCACGAACTGTTACACGCGCCTGGCAGTACTTCAACCTACAAAACAGTGATGATGTCACACACTTTTTGCGAGGAGAACACCCGATTTCAGTACACCCTCATTCTCAGTCTGTGCACAATCGCCACATGAACATGCCAGCTGTAATGACATCAATGCGTCCAACATGGTCCAAGAACATACGCTGTAAGCACATTTGCCGTACTTAACCGTACGAACAACTAACTGTAAGTTTACATACCGTTGTTTACCGTTCCACGGGAGTGCGTTTGCCCGCCACCTACCTAGAGTTCGGCTCCAAGCACCAGATCGCTAGGGTCCAAGCAATCAGACGCACTGTAGCCAGTGCTCCCAATTGTGCGTAGACTGAGAATGAGGGTGTACCCAAAAGTGCGATATCCTACCTGTGGCGAGATATCCCCCCCCCCTCCCCCCGATTGTCTGTAAAGTTCTCCGATTCGTTGAGCGATTCGCTAGAAAAAAGTATGTTGGCCCATTTCTATTTCACACTTCAACGGTTACCCCAATCACGCAAAAATCTAAAATGCGTGTCTTTGTCGCAGATGGGGTGTATTCGGTATCCCCAGCTGGTGAAGTGTACCGGGTTTTACCTACCGCATGCAGATCTTGCTAGTGCAGCTTTGCAAACGCATGCAATAGACGGTTCAGGGGAAAATGGTCGGCTTGCCGGCAAAAACATGCGGTTACCCGTGTTTAGGGTTGAGGCTCCCTCAATCGCATGCCATCCAGATGGGGTTTATTTTTTTCTGACCGCGGGCAGATAACAGTCCGTCAGCCTCTTTCCCCTGCGGCCGTCTATTGTATGCGTCTGCATAATTGCGCTGGCATAAGTTGAATGCCGTTAAAAATGGCCCGAAGTGTACGTTGCTCGTGTGGGAGCACTCTCTGCCAACTCGAAGGTGGGTATATCGGGAGGAAATTTCCAGGAAACTTCGTCTCGATAAACTCGTATCCAAGGACCACAGAATGTATACTCTGTAGAGTCAGACTCCAGAAACGACTAAGTCTGAAGCCTATTACATGGAAACAGGGGCCCTAAAACGATAAGTCTGAGGCACTCAGTGATGAAAAATGGACTACTCTGGAAATACATTTTCAGCAAAGTGCAAGGTCTGATTCGTCAGACTAATCAGACTAAATAGTCTGATAGCGTCAGCCCTGGCCACAATCTCTTACTTACTCTGCATATGGCACACAAGCAGGGGGGAAGGCAGCGCATGCACATGAGTGAGCAGGCAGGCATGTGGGATTCCAGTGTGCGCAGGAGGGTTGTACACGCCAGTGCCATACATTCGCCTCACAATCTCTTACGAGAGTGAGCGAGCGGGCATGTTATAGCATCCTGCAATTGTTACATGCCCTCACCTTATTGTTGAAGAGCTTCAGCATCTGGTCTCTGGACTTGGTGGGGTGGATCTTTTGCCGAAGTCAAGGTACAGCAGTGAGGTAACATGGTACAGCAGTGAGGTAACATGGTACAGCAGTGAGGTAACATGGTACAGCAGTGAGGTAACATGGTACAGCAATGGGGCAACATGGTACAGCAACGGGCTAATCTCCACCTCTTTATAATCACATGGTATAGTCCAGGTCCAGGCCTTTGCTGCCCGGTTATCTGGTCGTGGCAGCCCCCACCTCGTAGATTCTCCGCAGCTCCTCGGGGGGATCGTAGGAGATGTTGTTCAAAGGCGCGTGCATGTCCATGCCATACACTCGCCTCACAATGTCGTTTGTCTCCTGCGGACAAAGGAGAAGGGACACGACGAGCATGTGGGTTTCTTGAATGTGTGTAACAGAGGGTCTGCATGTCCATGCCGTACACTCGCCTCACAATGTCGTACGTATCCTGCAACCAACAAGCAGGCATGTGAATGGGAGGACTCAGGACTGGACCATGTTCAAAATGCACGTAGGAGAGAGAGCCTGTGCATGCATGACCATGCTGCCTGTCAACACGAGCCACAATCTCTTACTTACTCTGCATATGGCACACAAGCAGGGGGGAAGGCAGCGCATGCACTTGAGTGAGCAGGCAGGCATGTGGGATTCCAGTGTGCGCAGGAGGGTTGTACACGCCAGTGCCATACATTCGCCTCACAATCTCTTACGAGAGTGAGCGAGCGGGCATGTTATAGCATCCTGCAATTGCTACATGCCCTCACCTTATTGTTGAAAAGCTTCAGCATCTGGTCTCTGGACTTGGTGGGGTGGATCTTCTTGCCAAAGTCAAGGTACAGCAGTGAGGTAACATGGTACAGCAGTGAGGTAACATGGTACAGCAGTGAGGTAACATGGTACAGCAACGGGCTAATCTCCACCTCTTTACAATCACATGGTATAGTCCAGGTCCAGGCCTTTGCTGCCCAATTATCTGGAGGCAGCCCCCACCTCGTAGATTCTCCGCAGCTCCTCGGGGGTATTGTAGGAGATGTTGTTAAAGGCGCGTGCATGTCCATGCCGTACACTCGCCTCACAATGTCGTACGTCTCCTGCAGGTGGGGCACAAGCAAGCACGGGATGGCACGCAAGCAAGAAGGGTGAGAGTGAGGGAACATGTATGTCCATGCCGTACACTCGCCTCACAATGTCGTACGTCTCCTGCAGATGCGGCACAAGCAGGGGTATAGGCAGATCATGCATGAGAGTGAGCGAGCAAGCATGCATGACCATGCCATACACTCGCCTCACAATGTCGTATGTCTCTTGCAGATGCGGCACAAGCAGGGGTATAGGCAGATCATGCATGAGAGTGAGCGAGCAAGCATGCATGTCCATGCCATACACTCGCCTCACAATGTCGTATGTCTCTTGCAGATGCGGCACAAGCAGGGGTATAGGCAGATCATGCATGAGAGTGAGCGAGCAAGCATGCATGTCCATGCCATACACTCGCCTCACAATGTCGTATGTCTCTTGCAGATGCGGCACAAGCAGGGGTATAGGCAGATCATGCATGAGAGTGAGCGAGCAAGCATGCATGTCCATGCCATACACTCGCCTCACAATGTCGTATGTCTCTTGCAGATGCGGCACAAGCAGGGGTATAGGCAGATCATGCATGAGAGTGAGCGAGCAAGCATGCATGTCCATGCCATACACTCGCCTCACAATGTCGTATGTCTCTTGCAGATGCGGCACAAGCAGGGGTATAGGCAGATCATGCATGAGAGTGAGCGAGCAAGCATGCATGTCCATGCCATACACTCGCCTCACAATGTCGTATGTCTCTTGCAGATGCGGCACAAGCAGGGGTATAGGCAGATCATGCATGAGAGTGAGCGAGCAAGCATGCATGTCCATGCCATACACTCGCCTCACAATGTCGTATGTCTCTTGCAGATGCGGCACAAGCAGGGGTATAGGCAGATCATGCATGAGAGTGAGCGAGCAAGCATGCATGTCCATGCCATACACTCGCCTCACAATGTCGTATGTCTCTTGCAGCCAACAAGCAGACATGTGAATGGGAGGACCATGTTCAAAATGCACATAGGAGAGAGAGCCTGTGAATGCATGACCATGCTGCCTGTCAACACGAGCCACAATCTCTTACTTACTCTGCATATGGCACACAAGCAGGGGGGAAGGCAGCGCATGCACTTGAGTGAGCAGGCAGGCATGTGGGATTCCAGTGTGCGCAGGAGGGTTGTACATGCCAGTGCCATACACTCGCCTCACAATCTCTTACGAGAGTGAGCAAGCGGGCATGTTATAGCATCCTGCAATTGCTGCATGCCTCTCACCTTGTTTGTGAACATGTGCTGCATCTGGTCTCTGGACTTGGTGGGGTGGATCTTCTTGCCAAAGTCAAACGCATCCCCAGCATCCCTCCCAAACCGCTGCATGAGGGCCTTGACGTCGGCGTCCATGGTCTCAAACCGCCCCACGTAGTCATACTTGATTCTGTCCAGCCCACACAGGATGTTCTGCGGGGCGATGTGCTCATCTAGGAACCACCGCCTGTCCTCGTCCCACGCATCCCCCAGCAGTCGCACAAACTCATCAAACGACAGCAGACGCCTCTCCATCTCTATCTTATCCTTCCACACCCCCCACCAACTGCTCTTCGTCCAGCTACCCCCTTCTGCCCCTGCTGTTGCTGCTACTGGTGCTACTGTTGGTGCCAATGGGTCTGCACTGTCCTCCCCTGCTGCCCCTCCTGCAAAAATATCCCCCTCGTTTCCCCGAAATCTGAGCCGGTCTCTCGCTCGCAGCGCCCACAGCTGCCCGAAAAACCTTTTTGTCCAGGCCCGACGACCCCAGCCCAGCCCCCGCCCCCCCGTCCCCGGCGCGCTGGCTGGCACGTGATGATTGAGATACGCAGATACGATTCTGGTGAAGGGATGCCGGACGAACATGAACCTGGTGTAGTCGGTTCGGGTGATGGCTCGGATGGCGTCAGGTTCGGAGAGCGAGTACCAGACCTCGGTGATGTTGCTGGTGGCTGGGAGTTGTGCTTCGGGGAATTGATAGGGGTGGGGGTGGTGGTGCTGCTGCCGAATCCAAAACTTCCAGCTAGTTGATCCCACCTTCTGTACCTCGCAGTAGACTAGACCCACCGTGTCTGATGGGGGAAAGGGCGTGGAGGAACAGGAGGGAACTTTTGGGGCGCCTCATAGCTGGTTGGAGTGGGGGTGGTGGTGCTGCTGCGCTGCCGAATCCAAAACTTCCAGCTAGTTGATCCCACCTTCTGTACCTCGCAGCACTGTGCCTGATGGGGGAGGGGACGTGCATGGCGGGAGGCAAGAGACAGAGCGACAGAGAGAGGCGAAGGGGGAAAGGGGGAGCGCGGGGAACAGCAGGATTGGAGTGCTCAAACTCACCATTCGCTATTAGCTGCCTCCGAATGAGTTTTTTTAGAATTCTGAAAAATCGCTTCCAACGCGCTGCTTGTTAGTGGCGTCCTTATCGACAATTGTCGTTGTAGTGCCTATTTTTCCCATTTATTCCCACGAGACTAGTCAAGGCGGGCACTCACCATCCACGTTCAGTTGCCGCCCCATGCGGTGCTTGTGAATCGGCACGATGAACGGCGCATGACACACCCCACGCTCCTCCTCAAACACTCGTCCACTCGCACTCCCCTCTCTGCTCCCCTCTCTGCTCCCCTCTCCGCTCCCCTTCCTGCTCCCCTCCCCCCCGCTGCTCCCCCCTACAGCCACTGCCATGGGCGCTTCTCCCCGGGGGAAGCTCTCAGGCGCCACCAGCACATCGCGCATGCGGGGGGAACTGCCCCTGGCGGAGGCCTGCGCGCGGATGAGGTCCGCTTGGGGGGAGTGCTGCAGGTGAATGAGCCCCTGCGCGGATGCGAGAGTGAAAAGCTCCACTGCTTCTAGCTGCGCGCATTCCACCCATGCGCCCACCCCCCGCTCCCCCTGCTCCGTGATTCCCTCACTCGTGGCTCTCCCCTCACTTCCCCCACCCCCGCTGCTACCAATCTTAGTTCCCCCATCGCCTCGTTCCCCTCCCGTTCCGCCTCCCTCACAGCCTCTTCCCAGCCACCACCCAGACCAACCCGTCCACCTCCCCACCACCTCCCACTCGGCGATCTCCTGTAGAGTAGGTTCCGCGGGGGGAATGGGCGGGGGGAGCGGTTCCCCCCACGCGGGGTTGGGGCGGCAGAGGGCGGAGCGGCGCAGGGTTGCGCGGAGAAGGTGCGGCTGGCGGGAGGGGTGGAAGGTGTGCGCAACGGCCAGCGCCTGCGACGGCCAGAAACCCGCCACTGTAGCGTCGCCTTCGGGCTGCCCGAGAAAAAACCACATGAGGCGCCGGGTGGTGCAGTTGACTGTGTGGTGGGGGTGACAGCTGGAGCAGAGGGGGTTTAGACGGTCGAGCGCTACAGGCTCTATGTAGACAGCTGTGCTCTGCTGGACACGTGTCAGGTTCTCATTGGCTATCAGGTCCTGCACGGCTGTGGACGGCTGTAGCAGGCTGTAGCAGCGCTGCAGGGAGGTGTGGAGCTGGGAGGAGCCGTCCACGTCAGCAAAGTTGCTGATAGTGGCGGTCGTAGGGGGAAGGGAGGAGGAGAGGAAAAAGTTGACTTGCAGGGTGCGAGAGGGATGGGAGGAGGGAAGGGGGTGGGAGGAGGAGGGGTTGAACGTGCCTGCCTGTTTCTCCTGTTGCTGCTGCAGCTGCTCTTGAGATATCGGCTGGGGGATTTCCGTCTTGAGGGTCTGTTGGGGTGCACCGTCGCGAAAGGCGAACACGCGGGGGGCAAACGCGATCAGGGTTGGAGAGAAGTGGCAGCGTTTAGAAAACCGTGAGCTGACGACCCCCTTTGACTCCGAGTCACAAAAAATGTCGGACCAAGGGGGTGTTCCAACTCAAGCACGCTCGCGAAACACAGAGGGCGGATAGGAAATCATGCAAATCGAAGACAAATCGTGCGGCGCTGCTCCTACTTTGAACCTACCGTAAAAGTATAAAGCGGTGAGTTGAGCCAACTCGGACGATGGTGAAGCACGATCGCCTTATCCGATGCATCAGATGCACCATCCGCCGGGAACGACGGCGACTCCTGCGCCTGCTCGCTCCGCTGGCGGCCGCCGCTTTGCGCGGCGCCGAGCGCGCTCGGGCGAGGCAGAGGGCCCAGCACGTGGTTGAGCGTGGCGTGCGGCATAGCGCGATCCGGCAGCCATAGCACGGCCAGCCGCAACGGCCGCTGCTGCGGTTGCTGATGGGAAGGCGCGGCGCTGCTGGTGTCTGGGAATCCGGCAGGCAGCAGCTTGGACGACACGAGGTGGTGCAGCGCGTACCCCGCGCACACTGCCTCCAGCCGCTTGTGAAGCGGTCCCTGGAATCGTGGGGAAACCGGATGATAGGAAGATACATCAAAAAGAAAGAAGAGAAAGAAACATTGGGGAAGGATGCGGATCGGGAAGGCACATTGCTAAATGAAGAGTAACACATTGAATAAGGCTATAAAACTTCCAGCATCGTGTATCGAACCCGTGTCTCCTACTTGTAACGGGTTCACGAGATCAAGGGAAACATAACATTTGCCCCTGGGATGAACCGCCATTTTCGAGAGTCGAACCCGCGTCTCCAACAGACATGATAAATGCTCCGTTGCAGGTCGCCATCAGGGAAGAACTGTGAGTACCATCATAAGGGCGACGTCAGGTTGTACAACTTTTTGTACGCCCACTGCGGTTACCCTCGTTTTTACACGGTGCAGAGCGGTAATCGAGAACCGTTTTTCACCGTGTCAGAACGTCTTGAACCGCGATACAAGAACTGTGAGCCCGCGAGAACTGTATAACCTGATGTCGCCCTAAGCTGTTCGACTCACTGCATCTATGAGTCCCAACAGAGTACGTGACATGATACCTTGGCCCATATGACGACGTCCGGGTGAGAGGCGTTGCGGCTCGAGCTTCTGGCTTCCTCATTCGCCCCGTCACCTGCTGCCAGATCCGCAAAAACAGGCTGATTAGAGAAGACGAGGAATTGCTGGCCGTCGCCAGCGGCTGTCATGAATGCTTCGCGCGTTAGCGCAAAGAAACTGACGACGGAGAGTACTGCAAGGACATTCAACACGCATCGCCACGTCGCATTCGTGGAAAATAAACCGGAAAGTGGACTATTTTCGTTATGCACTCGGTCAATGCCGGCTTTGAAGGACCAGGTTACTAGATATTTTCTCATCGCCGCTAGGCAAATCTCATACGGCCTTAGGAATGTCGTTAATACTACTACCAAATTCAAGTTGGCGTAGACCTTCCAGAATACAATGTTCGGATGTCTCCTCTACGGCCTCCTCAAAGCCTCCCCCAGTCAAACCTACCTTTTGAGGTAATATGGAAGGCCTCCTGGCCGCGTGCTTCGGAATCTCAGATCAAGAAACAGGGAGAGCAACTCAGATGGACATTTTTTCTGGAGTTGGCAGTCGGTGGGCTTGTCAGCTATTGGGGGCGGCGCCTGTAAAAGCTCAACAAGAAGCTCTTTCTGTTTGGTAAAACCGGTTGAGTACGATGTTGTGCACTCTGATGCGGTTTCTCCGTCCCACCGCTTTGAACTGTTTACCACCAGCCTGAACTCTCATGCATTCATTCAGGCGGGAGGGGGAGTGCTGGTGTGGAGAGTGGGTGGAGGGGGCGGCCCCCCCTGTGGCACGGGTTTGGGAGGATCGCGACTCGGAATACACATGATGCCAGGGTTGAGCCACTCCCAGTTGCTAGCCATTATTGAATTTCGCATAAGTTTCGTCAATTCGCAGCTAGCTAAAAAGGACTCGTTAGGTGCTTATAAAATATTTGTAACTTTTTCGTTGACATTTTGACTTCAGTCTCTTCAGCATGACTTCCGTCTGCTGCGCGACGTGCATGTAACGTGCGTGCAACTGGCTGGGGAAAAACCTCGGGTGGAAGGTTTCCATCTGGTGCAGGGCAAATTCGCGTGCAGGGGCTGGGGATCATGTGCACCTTGGGAACATTTTGGTGAATTGTACATGTCAACGCACCAGTCAACGAATCAATAGTGTTCCACTGAGTTACTTCGCGCAAGCCAATTCGAAACGTGAAAATGAAACATATGCAGAAAACAAAGTACACCATCCATGAGCAAGAATATAGGTACACCATCAGTAGTATTCACAAGATTCAAAATACACCGCCCATAAGCAGAAGGCTCACAAAAATTAACATATTCCAAAACCTTTTGCAAGGATGGAAAAAAAATGTATCATACACCAGCAGCCACCACTGCAAGTGATGCCTTTAATTGATCGTTGGAGAGAGGCTTGGTCATAAATCCATTCATGCCAATCTCCCGGCACCTCTCCGGAGCTCCGGCCACAAGGTCAGCCGTGATTGCAAATATTGGAACCCGGTGTCGCCCCATATGCTCCTCCAGCCGTCGGATCTCTATGGTTGCATCATAGCCGTCCATCACCGGCATCTGCAGTGCAACAGGAAACCACCAGTCGTGAGGTGTAGGATGAACAAAGCAGCTCAAGTTTGCTGAAGCAAAATACGGGAACAAGAAGTGCTCGACAGTGGGAAGTGGAAAGCAGGTGGGAAGTGCGAGTGGGATGTTTTCAGTGCTAAGTGGAAGTGGTTAAGTGGGTGTAGATGGGAGGAAAGCCAGAAACACACACCTGTAGGTCCATGAACACGCACACAAACCCTTCCCCTCCACCTCCCCCAACCCCTTCACCACCTGCCACACCACCATCTCCACTCCCTTTCATCCCCTCTATAAACCGCTCCACTGCAACGCGGCCGTTCTCAGCCTGCACGCCCACCATGCCGTAGGGCCGTAGCTTCGCCAGAACCACCTTGCGGTTCACTGCGTTGTCATCCACCACTAACACCCGCCTCCCTCTCAGCCTCGCTGAGAGGGACCGTGGGGAGAGCGGCGGGGTGGGTGCGAGTGCTTGGCTCGGCTCTTCCACATGCCCTGCTTGAGCTGAATCCATGGAGGGGGTTTTGGGTGTTTGAGAGGAGGTTTGGGGGGTTTCGGAGGAGGTTTCACGAGTGGTTTCGGATCCTGGTTTAAGGTCCAGTAGCTCTGGTTCCTGACTTCTTGTCCTCTCTCCCCCCTCGCTGCTGCCTCTCTCTTCCACGCTTCTCCCGGCTTCCCCTGTTTCTTGTTGACCCTCCTGGTTTCTCCTCTCTGCCTCCCTCTCATCGCACTCTTCTGCTACATCATAAATGCCATCATCAACAGCTGTGGCGGCAGCTGTGGCGGCAGCAGCAGCAAGCTCCTCCTGTACCAGGTCAGTCAAGGACGGTGCTGGTGGCAATGCTACAACCCTTGATTCTGCAAAATCGGCTGTTGCATCCCCTGCTGCTACAATCACAGCAGCTGCAACCCCTACTGCTGCGTGTCCAGGTGAAGCATCTGTAGCAGGCACAGCAGCAGATGCTGAAATCTCTTGAGAACCCATCAAAAGAGCAGAGTTGTGAGCAGGGGGAGAGGCGGCAGGTGAGGAAGCAGAGGAGGCGACGGAAGCAGGGAAAGCAGAGGAGTGCGTGGATTCAGGCGAGAGAACAGTGAGAAGATCCCTACCAGGTGGTACAGGTGAGGATGCAGCATCTGCAGCGGTGGGAGTGGACGGCGGAAAGAATGCATGGGAGAAGGGCGAGGAGGAGGGAGAAGAGGACGGCGAGACGGAAGGAGCAGCGGCAGTGGGGAGAGCAGCAGTGGGAGCAGCAGCAGCAGCAGCAGCAGTAGGAGCAGCAGGGCTCCAGCTACCAGAAGGGGATGGGAACCTGTGTGACTGAGCCTGACTCCTGCTGCTGCTGGCCGTGCTGCCCGGACTGCTCAAGTACCCATCTGTACCCCTCGTGTACCCATCTGTACCCACCTCCACCATGTCTGGAAACCGCGCTCTGCTTCCCAATCTCCGCTCCCTCACCCTTCCTCCGCCCTCTTCCCCTAATTGCTCCTCCTCGTCTGCTTCTGCAAACGTCACTCCTCTCCACCCGCCTTGCCTCCCCGACCAATCAGCTTCCAGAGTCTTGGCTCGTCTCACCTCCACCTCTTCCCCCTTTTCTGCATTCCTTCCCTCTTCGTCTCCCTCCTCTCCCTCCCCTCCATTCTCTCGCCTATCCTTCACGTCTTCCCTTCTTCCTTCATTCCCCTCCCCACTGAACGCACCTGCACCACCCTCTCCTCTCCCACTATCCGCTCCCCACCTTCCACCAATCAGCAGATCCATTTCAGAGGACCAGGAGGAAGGGGTAGCAGCCATCCCACTCACGGGGACCACCTCTCCTCCACCCCACAAGTCTTCCCCAGTTGCACCCTCGCCAGTTGTACCTTCTCTAGTTGTACCTTCCCCAACACACACCTCTCTGTTGCTAACAGCAGCACCAGGCGTGCCAGGGTGAGGAACAGAGGGATACCCTTCCCTCTCCCTTCTCCTCCCCTCATTCCAACTCTGTGACCCTTTATTGACTGTCCTGCTACCGCTACTATCACCCGTAGCAGACTTTTGAGACGTCTCAAAACTCCTCCCCTCATTCCAGCTTTGCGACCCTTTATTGACGACCCTGCTACCGCTACTATCACCTGTAGCAGCCCTCGTTAGAGTCACAGTCCTGCTCCCGCTGCTTTCATCTGTAGCAGCCCTAGTCAAGCTGATAACACTACTTTTACCCATAGGAACTTTCGTTTTACTCACAGCCCTGCTACCGCTGCTGTCAGATGTAACCGCTCTTGACATGCTGATACCACTCTCACCCGTTTTACTCACAATCCTGCTACCACTACTGCAATCTGTAGCTGCTTTCGATATACTCGCACTGCCGAAACCACTGCTGCTATTGCCTGCCGCAACCTTTGCCCCACCATCCCCCATAACAACCTTGGCTTTACTCACAATGCTGCAAGCCAGGCTGCTGGTGCTGTGACTGCTGCCCATCCGATACTTCCCCATCCTGCCAAACTTACCCTCCTCAGAGTGCTGACTTTTCATTGTGCTGCTTGTGCTGCTTCCTGTTCTGTCCCTGCCTCCAGCCTCATTCCTGCTCCCAGGTCCTCTCCTGCTCCCAAGCCCACCCCTGCCTCCTGTGGAAGCACCGCTTGTGTAGCCACTGTCACCGCTCACATAACCACCAGCACCACTCGCATAACCACTGTCACCACTGACGTACCCCACATCCTCCCATCCTTCAGCAGCAGCAGCACCACCACCAGCATAACCAGAAGCAGCAGTACCAGAAGCGGCAACAGCAGCGACGATTGGTTTCAGGCCAGCACCCCTGTCAGGAGAAACGAGCTTCCAGGTGCGGACACTAGAACGTGCACCGGGGCCCTCCCCATCGCTTACACACACCACCGTCCGAAGGGCCTGGTTACCAGATTGGTTACCAGATTGGTTACCAGACTGGTTACCAGATTTATTACCAGACTGGTTACCAGACTGGTTACCAGACTGGCTACCAGATTGATTACCCTTGTGATCACTTTCAGCCAAACATTGCTCTGTCAATTCCTCTGCCTGTGCTGCTGCTGCTGCTGCTGCTGCTGCTGCTGCAGGGGCAGCACTAGCAGCATCAGCTCTGGTACCACCAGCAGCAGGAGCGACCTCAGCATCACGGCTAGCACCAGCATTGGCAGCACTGGCAGCCCAGTCACCAGCACCATTGATATTATCCGAGGTAACACCAGTAGGAGAGCCAGCCACAGCCGCTGCTGCTGCAGCCGCTGCTTTCTTGCCCGACTCGCCCCACCGACCAGGAGTCAAGGATCGTAGCACCGCCCGAGCCTGCTGCTTCACTCTCTGCCGAACTGGGGACGGAAGCCTGGGTAACACAGATGCTCCTGCCTCTCCCTCCGCTGTTGCTGCTGTCGCTGCTGCTGCACCTGATGATTCAGATGCTGCAGTTGCTTCTGATAAGGCTGCCACAACTGTTGCTGCAGGTGCTTCTGCCGAAGCTGTCACCACTGCACCTCCCAAGCCGCTTCCGAAGCTAGCTCCTGGAGTCCGAGCCTCTCCTCTTGCTTCGTGCCTCTGGTCTAGCCTCGGACTAACCAAAGGCTTGATGGACCGTTGCGAAAGGCTTGGGATTGCACCCACCGAACCTGATAACTGGCTTGGAAGGATTTGCTCCCTCATCCCCTGCTGCTTCGCTTGCTCCTCCTGCCTTTCTCTCTCCTGCTTGCTCCCTCCCTCCTGTTGCCTCCCTCCCTCATGTGCTGGCCATGCCTCCTCAGAGCTCTCAGAGCTGCTCCTGGCAGCACCTACCAGCAACTGTCCCACCCTGGCCTCCTCCTCCTCCCTCCTCCCTCTCCTTTCTCCTCCCCTGGCAACTTCCTCCCTCACTGCAGCGAAGGGAGCACCACTCGCCCTTGCAACTGCTGTTGCTGCTGCTGCTGCTGCCGTAGCAGTGGTTGCTGCTGCAGCAGAGGGGTTAGCTGCAGGAGGAGGGATGGAAACGAGGCGTGGGGAGGAGAGGGCGAGGGAGGAAGAGGAGGAGGAGGTGGAGAGAGAACCGGGCGTGAGAGAGGAGGGAAGAGGGGAGGCAGGAAGGGGTTGAGGGAGGAGCAAGTAGGAGGAAAAGGTGAGAGGAGAGGTGGGACGGTGGGTGGGAGGGTAGGTGGGGATTGGGAGGGGGAGCTTGTGAGATGCGAGAGGAGAAGAAGGGGGTATTGTGAGGGTCGAGAAGCTTTCGGGAAAGGGTGGGACGAGGAGTGAGGGGTTCTGTGCAAGACGGGCAGGAGCGAAGGAGGAGGAGGAGAGGGAAAGCGAGGAAGGGGTGGAGGCGGAAGAGGAGGCTCCCAGAGGGCTTGGTTCGTTCTGGTTCCTGTCCACATTCACTGCACCTGAACCGCTTGCCTGCTGGCTGTCCACATTCACTGCACCTGAACCGCTTGCCTGCTGGCTGTCCACATTCACTGCATCTGAACCGCTTGCATGCTGGCTGTCCACATTCACTGCACCTAATCCATTCTGTGTGTCAGGCACAGCAAGGGGCGGCACAGGGTCAAGAGCAGTGGTAGCAGAGCCGTCCCCTCCTCCAACCACAGCACTAGAAGAACAATCAGCAGCCGCAGCTTTATCATCCACCACTGCTGCTGCTACTGCTGTTGGTGTTGGTGCTGCTGCCACTTCTGGTGCTGCTGCTGCCGCTGATGCCACTGCTGGTGCTGCTGCTGATGCCATTGCTGCCGCCACCGCTGCTGCCACGGCTGCTTCAGCAGCCTTGTCCCCTCTCGCCCCTGCAGGTCTCTGGTAGCTTTTCCTCCTAGACCATACCCTAGACACCCTCCTCTGCTTCCCACTCAACCCCTCCCTCTCCCCTTCCTTCACAACCTCTCCCTTCTTCTCCTTCTCCCTTTCCTTCTCTCCTTCCTTCTCCCCTTCCTTCTCCTTTTCCTTCTCCCTCTCCTTCCCTCCCTCAGCAAGCCTCCCTTTCTCTCTCTCCACCATTCTCCGCCCCGGATCCTCCCGTCTGCCCGAAAAAGACCGGCTGATCCTGCCCGAAGCCCTCACAGCCGCAGGAAACAGAAAGAAACTTTTCCCGCCGCTGCCCGAGCGAGAAACAGGAACACCACCCTTGCTGACGTCAGCGCCAGGACTGCTGCTGACGTGGGTCGGTGTCACCCCAGCACGGTGGTTACCACTCAGAGTGTTACTGTTCCTCCTCCCACTGTTGCCGTTACCGCTGCCGTTACGGTTACTGATACTGTAGCTGTTACTGTTACCAGTCGCGCCGCTGTTACCGCTCAGGTGGGAACTGCTCCCAGCAGTGGAGAGAGCGGTAGTTATACCTACCTCAGAATAGACAAACTTTGCCAGCCAGTCGGTGAGAGTCCAGCAGGAGAGCAGCGCAGTGTCGATGGCATCCCTCTGGTCTTGATCCAACTCGCACTCTTCGACCAATAGTTGCAGCATGCCTGTTAGGGGTAAAAGGAAGGGGGCAGCAGCGGGTGAGCAAGGGAAGAGCAGCGCAGTGTCCATGGCATCTCTCCATTCACCTCTGTACACGCCGAGCACTCACCTCCGTGAGATGCCTCGCAGCCTGCTGAGGCCCCATTCACCCCCCTCGCCCCCCCTCTCTACTCTCACACACGCAGTGCACTCACTCACCTATAACCCCAATGATAGGAGCGCGAATCTCGTGCGAGATACACCCCAGGAACTCCCTTTTCGCCCGCACTGCCCCCTCCTGCGAAACCCTGGCAGCAGCCAGCTCTGTGAGGTGCTTCGCCGCCTGAGCCTCCATTCAACCCCTCTCTCTACTCCCATACACGCTACCAACCAACTCACCTATAATCCCGTTGATTGGAGTGCGAATCTCATGTGAAATACATCCGAGGAATTCCTTTTTCGCGCGTATCGCCCCCTCCTGCGTGGCCCTGGCAGCAGCCAGCTCTGTGAGATGCTTGCCCGCCTGAGCCTCCATTCGCTCTGCCACCTCCCACATGGCCCACAGGCAGCACGACACGAGCGCGATTGCGAAGAGCAAGCCACCACAGACGACAGACACCTGCAAGGAGAGTATGAGAAAGACAGTGCAAAAAGAAAGATTAGCAGTCATCTCTCCCTCCATGCGCTCTGCCACCTCCCACATGGCCCACAGGCAGCATGTCACGAGAGCGATTGCAAACAGCAAGCCGCCGCAGATCACGGATACCTGCAATGCAAGCAGAGAACCAGACAGTCACAGAAAAGAGGTCAACAGTAGCAGACATAGGACGTTATCAGCACGTAGCAGGGTAGGAGAAGAGAAGGTTTAGCACGAAGGAAAAAACAGTGAAAGAATGCTAGGTAAGAACAAGGGGCGACTGCGAATAGCAAGCCACCGCAGATGACGTTTACCTGCAATGCAAACTGACTTTTGAGTCGACTCAAGAGATGATGGTTACCTGCAAGCCGAACCCAAACTGCAACCTCTGCTGCTGCCGCTGCTGCTGCCACCGCTGCTGCTGCTGCTGCTGCTGCTGCTGCTGATGATGCTGAATACTGCGGCTGCAGCAGCAGCTGACTCTCCTGCAACCAAGGCTCCAGTGCACCCTCCCCCCCTATCCCCCCTGCCCCTGACCCTGCCCCTATTCCTAACCCTGCGCCCACCCCTGCCCCCACCCCCGCCCCCACGCCTAAGTGCATGGCAAGCACAGCAATGAGCAGCATGACAGCTATGAGGGCGAGTCCGGCCAAAAGGCACCACAGGCAGATCACCAGCTGTCGCCAGTGGGAGAGAGGGGGAGGGGTGGAGGGCGGATAGGCATGCTTGCTGCCGGTGCTGGTGCTGCCGGTGCTGTTGGTGATGGTGCTGCTGCTGCTGCTGCTGCTCTTTCTGCTTTGCCCTGTGCTTCCTGCTGTGCTGCTGGCTGCTGTGCTGATGTTGATGGCGCTGGCTGTGCTGCTTACTGAACCGCTGCGTGTATCTCGGGCCACTGATTGCACCATGCTCCGATACCTGATTGCCCACCACTCTCTCCATCGCACCTCCCCCACTCCGCTGCTCCTCATACACCAGTGATATATCCCCTGCTACTGCATCCTCCCACTCCCCATTCCACTCCGCAACCTCCTTTCTCAGCCGATCTGCCCGACTGCTTGTCCTCTTTACAGGCGCACCCAGTTCGGTATAGTCACCCGACACTGTACGCGGAAACGGGAATGTAGGTTCAGCAAGTTTGGCTGCCGTGGCAGCAGATGCCTCAACAGCAGGTTCGGAGACAGGTCCGGGAGAATCTTTTGGAGGTTCGTTCGGTGCAACAGCAGCAATGGCGGCGGCAGCAGCAGTGGCAGCGCCAGTGCCAAATGCATCAGGCATGGCAGAAATTGCCACGTCAGCAGCAGGGGATGGAGCCCCAGCAACAGCTTCTCCTGCCAACGCGCCGCCCAAAGACGCCAGGTGGCCAATACTGCCGACAAACACCGACTCATCGAGCGCTGACCTGTCACTCGGTGTCAGCGATCCCATGCGTGACCCATCATGTGTCAGACCCAGGCTGGCACGAGTCAGCATCGTTGTTCCTTGCGCTCCTTGCGCCCCTTTTGCTCCTAGCACATTCCCAAGAGCAAGACCATCTGCTGCAAGCTGACCCTCGCCCTCCCACACCTCCCTCTCCTCCTCTCCTCCGCTGCTCTGGCTGCTCAACCGCCTCTGCACGTGCTGCTGGTACTGCTGGTGCTGCCTTGGATCCAGCAAATAGCTCCTCAGCCCTGTGGCCCCTGCTCCTCCTCCCAATCTCCCCCCTCCCCCTCCCCCACCTGCTCCTCCTGCACCCCCTGCCGCCCACACCAGGCTGCACCTTCGTCTGGGCCGCACACTAAACCCCTCAATTGGCCGCCCAGTCATGTTGCCCCGACCAGTGATGCTCACTCGCCCAGTGGTGGCCGTAACCGGGTTACCACTGCGGCCAAACACATCGTTGCCAGTGTGGCTTGCAACAGGGTTACCAGCTGGAGCAGCAATGCTGGGTGGACTTGTGGCAGGGGCCTGATTACCACCTGAGCCTCCACCTGAGTTTTCACCTGAGGTATCACCTGGATTTCCAGCATGAGGTGTAACCACAGGGGACCCTCTCCCAGTGCTCTCCCTGCTAAGAGGACTCGCTCTAACGGTGCTGCTCCTGTTACCATAGCTAGTACTGGGTCGGCCCAGGCTGTTGCTAGACCGGCCCGTTATGCTCACTCTCCCTGTAACCCCTGCCCTCCTCCCGGAGTGACTCATTCGCATACTCATTCGACCGGGACCAGCACCTTTGGTTACCGCATTCAACCGTGTGTTTACCCCATCTGTAACACCTGCCCAAGAAACCTTGCTGCTAGTCATTTCACTGTGCAAATGCTTGCTGCTGCTGTTGCTGCTGCTGTCGGTGGTGGTGGTCGTTGTGGGGTTGAAAGGGGTGGGGATGGATAATGGTGCCTTCTCCAAGGTGCTTGAATCATAGGGGTTGCTGTTGTCACTTATTGTGAGCTCATCCTGGACCAGGCCTATAAGGGGTACAGGGTGTAGCCAGTCGTCCTCGCCTGTTTCTGCTTCTGCTGCTGTTGCTGTTGTTGCTGCTGCTGCTGCTGCACCAGCAGCACCATCCTTCTCAGGCTGGGCATCTGATTGGCCCAGCAGCAGCGGAGGCATCGGAGCATCCCATTGGCCGGATGAAATCTGGTCGGCGAGGAACGTGACGGCTCGAGACGCCAGGCCAGCAGCAATGGCCTCTGAGAGCGCGTCTAGATACGCCTCGGAGCGAGATACAAAGGCGTGGCTGTCTCTGCGGTGGCTTCTTTGCCCTGTGATTGCGATTGCGCCCACGTCGCTGAAGCTTGAATATTTTTCTACACTGGTGAGAAGTGAGGTGCTGCTACTGAAGGTTTCTGGGCCCCCATCGTCACCCCACACAGTAGCAGCAGCATCAGCAGTATCAGCACCCGCATCAGTACCAGTATCAGCAGCAGCAGCACCGCCAGCAGCACCAGCAGCACCAGCAGCTGCAGAAGCAGCAGCAGCAGCAGCACCAGCAGCACCAGCAGCACCAGCAGCTGCAGAAGCAACAGCAGCAGCAGGGTCCCCCAGGCCACTCGGCGCGCTTGCAAGGTCTTGAGCTGCACCATACACGCGGAAGGTGGTTACCACCCCATGGTTACATCCACTGTGATTCCCGTGCCCGAACATTCCTGTTTCCACTCGAGCCATGGCTTCTCCCGCTAACCTCCACTCCTCATCCTTTTCCTCCTCTTTTTCCCCCGTCTTCCCCTCTCTCGCTCTCCTCCCTCTCCCCTTCCGCCTCCTGCTACTGCTGCTCCTCCTCCTACTGGTGCTGCTGCTGCTATTCCCTTCCATCCTGCTGCTGCTGTCGCTGCTCTCTTGGTACTCTTTGCTGCCCGTTTTGCCGCTTCCTGCTGCCACGTCATCACACCACGCGCTCGCTGACGAAGCCACCTGGCAGCTTCCTCCGACAGTGGCGCGCCTTACAAGAGCTCTCCCATGCGCTGCCCCATCCGCTCCCCCCGCCTTCCCCGCTGCCCGCGCATCTCTTGCCTTGTGAACGCGCGTGCGCATCCATTGCCCCACGCTCTTATAATCTTCCGCTTCCGCGCCTGCTTTCCCCTCGCCTTTCCCCCTGTCCGCGCGCGAGGCCCCTCTACTCTCCTTGCAGCTTCCGCCCCTGCTCTCCCCCGCGTCTTTCCCCGTCCCCCAACCAACCGTCCGCCTTGCCCACCCCGGGCTAGGCGGCCGGCGGACATCGCGCTCCTGCTCGCGTTCCGCCTGCGCCGTCGTCGCCCCCCTATCCCAGCGCGCCTCCCCGCGTAAGATCCCGCTACCTAATCGCATGACGTCTCCTAATCTCCTGCTCTCATACACTCCGCCGCCGACCGCGGACGTCGTTAGACTTCGCTGCCTCGGCCCCCGCGGCGTCGCGGCTGCTGACTCCGAGTCCGCAATTCCCGCCGTGAAAACCGCCAGATTTTCCGAGCTGCTGCTCCCAGTCGTCGACCGCCCCATTAGAGTCGCGGTCGCCGCCGCCGCCGCCGCTTGTCGAAGCGCGCGCTGCTCCTTCCTCTGCCGCCGCCGCTCCCGCACTTGCTGCAAATCCACGCTTTCAAGGGCTACACCCCCCACGCTCTCGAGCCTCCTAGTGACCCGCGCGCCACCTTCTAATTCCCGCCAATGGGACAGCGATTGCGGCTCGTTGGGCGAATCAGCAGCCGCGCGCGACCGCGCAATGAATTTGCCGGACACATCGAGGCGCGAGGGTGTGCATGACGCAAGGCTCATCTCGGAGCGACCTACGCCGTTGGATCCGCCGCTCGTGGTGCAATCAACGGCTGCCTCGCCGCGTCGATCACGTGAATAGCTATAGTCTAAGAGCTGCTGCTGTTGCTGCCGTTGGCCGTCCGTGGAAACAGTCGCAGTGGTAGCGAATGACACATGATGTCCCTCCCGTCCCTCACGTGTTCCACCCTCCCGTCCCCCACGTGCTTCCGCCTCCCGCCCCTCCGCGGAAGAAGAGTCGCGATTGAGCGCCTCGCGGGGAGACAGGCGCGGAGCCACCAACTTCCATAGCCACCTTGCAGGCATGGCGCCTCGGGAGGGGACGGCGCCTGGGAAATGAATGGTTCGGTATTGGCGCGTCGGGAATGGCGCTTAGGGAATGGCGTCTAAGGACTGCTTGCCTGGCTCGGTAAAACGCACATGGGTCACGTGAGGCAGACTGAATGAGACAAACAGGCTGACAGCAAGGACCAAAACAAGAGAGTGGAGGCAGTCAGGCGGGCATGCTTCTGGTCCTTGCCATGCTGCAGGCTGCTTCTAGTGTCTGCCTGCTGCTTCTCGCAGCTTTCGGCTTCTCGACTCCTGCCTGCCTGCTGCTACTCGAAGCTTCCTGCTCCTCGACTCCCGAATGATGCGTGCTGACGGCATAGATGAGTTGGCCGCCCTTTTGCTAAAGGCTGTACAGCTGGCGAGGGGCCTGTCCGACGAGATAATTTAGGACCGTTGGGAAAGCGTGTACGTCACGGAACAAGAAAGCGTGCAGGAATGCGTGTCGGAGAAGCATCCTCCGGGTCTGAAGCGCAGCGCTGGGTTGAGACGGGAAACGGCCACCTTGAATTGGTGGCTGTTATCGCGTCAAGGAATGGACGGGCAGAAGAGGTGGAATTAATGTGACGCGTCGACCATGCGGGAAGAGGAGACGAGTACCAAAGTGACGCTTCGAAAGAAAAAGGACGTGGTGAAGAG